GGCCCTGTGGGACGTGCTTGGGAGGCGTGTTTAGGGGACAAGGCGAGTCACGTGAGGCTTACTGTAGGCTTTAGTGGTTCAAGATGTAGGTGTTGAGCGTGTTGAGTTTCTGAATTTTTGGGTCAAGGGATGGGAGGCTTACAGGCCCTTTCTGCAGGCGTATTACCGGATTGCGTGCAGGTGTACGGAAACTACATGAGGATACGACTTTATCAAGGTGTTGGGTTGTCTTGTAGTTCTTGGCATGTGGTTGTTATTTCTGGCATCAGCGCAATAAAGTTCGGCAGCATCACCGGTCCCCCTTCATATACGGCACGCTGACATGATGCCGGCACCACCGTTGTTCTTGTAAGGACTGGGGTCCTGCCAGCGCAGCTTGATGGGCCTGATGCCATGCAGTACGTGGAGCCAGTAAAGGACTTGAACTCATGTAAGCCCCTCATTTTGGGTTCGCATGAGTCATGACGGACCTTACGCAGGGAATCGTGGGAACCGAGAGCAGAACATTGCGATCGAACAAACACCTAGGCACTTCATGTGAATTCTTGCACATGTTTTGCGATTTCGGCCTTGGTGGTGGCTTCAGAGAGCCATCATCCTTGGCAGCAGAAGTGCATGCAGCATCGCCAGGTGAAACTAAACAACAGTTGTTAGAGGTATGTCTCTGTGCAAAACCCTCAGAGCCCGGTGTTGATCTTGGAGAATGCGACCTGTCCTCGGTCATAAGTCATATACCGCACGTACAAAATGATATACTTGTCGGCCCCGGTGCCGTCGCACACCGGTCAGAAGTCACATGGGCACACACTCATTGCTAGAAAACACGTGAATCCTTCGAAGACTTAGCCGCCTCGGTTTGCTTTTGGGAGTCCTAGCAAGAATGTTCATGGTAAGATTGTTTGGGCATGCACAGGGGTGGACCCTTGCTTCTGCAAGTGTTGCAAAAGCGTCTCATCTTGTTGCTGCTCAGGCATGGTTGGAAGCAGGCCGGATCTTCCTGGTTTTTGGATTGGATGTTTTTGTGTTTTCAGGTTCTGGGTTGTCCTCAAACCTGGCCTCTTTCTGGAGATTCCGGCTTTCAAGATCTCAGTGTTTTGGGGCATTTCTGTTGGGATGCGAACTCTTGAAGAAGCGACATGCGATTGGAATTCTGGACCTTCATGCCAGACACTGAACAAGCCTTGGGCAGGACCGGGCTGTCGAGGGTTCAGAAGCAGGCCAGACCAGATCCCTGTCATGGCACCAAGTTTTGGGGGGATTCGACAGTCTTCACTTCCTGTCACAAGCTGGTACAATGTCAGCTTGCTGTCGTTCCTGGACCTCAAGCAACACAGCTAAGTCCAGCTAGGTATGGCATCACTGGGCGTAAAGGTTGTGGACAAACAAATACGAGCTCCGCAGTCTGAAGCCCAAATCCGGTACGCTCATCATGTAGCCCAGCCGCCCTCGTCCCCAGATGTTTCGGGCCCATTCGCATACGGGAAGATCAGTACGAGCACTTAGCAGAAGTGACAAAGTTGAAGATCCTTCACGCAACAAGGACTGCCCTGAATTGCAATGTGTGGAGCTTTGACCAAGTAATCAGTGAGCTCAAGATATGGTGAGTCAATGCCCCCAGCATTCATGAGCCTGATTGGTTCGTAAGTCTCTTCCGCAGGCGCGTGGACCTTTACCGAGGAGCTCACACCAGCCAAAGATGCGTTGCAAGGCGGGAGAGATGCGCATGGTCATGATTGCTGATCACTCCGGACCCGTTATTACAAAAGTTCCCTGGCATCCAAGCATTTTCGTTCTCAGGGTCAGAGGCCACCCAGATCGAGTCAGATCAAGTAAACACCTCCTGGGTCTCGATCCCCTAATAACGTCCAAAAACATCCTCTAGCGGCCCTAGCACCCTGCGATTACACCTCCTTGTGCGCAATCAGGGCAATTCATGACTGCAATTCCCAGATCGATCAGCTTCTGCGCCATCCGTGCTTCAAGTCATCAAGGGTCAACAAACAGGACCTTATCTAGAACAGTTCAATTTTTCTTTGCTGGAAAACCGCGTGCTAATCACGGGTTTCAAAGTCTGTGGGAGACTCATATCGATTTGTTTTTGCGCTTGCAGCAGTCACTGCTCCCAAGCTTCAGAGCCCAGTGGCAGTCAGGAGTTTGCTCCTGGTGCCAAGCAGCACCAGGCTTTTCAAGAATGGGGAATGAAGGCGTGCTGCACTAGCACAGGCCTACCCGGATGTCGGTTCGGTTCCACTGCCTTGTCCTGGCCAACAATTCTTGCTCGCCAGAATCCACCATGCAAGGGTGCAAGTCCTTGAGCACCTGCATCAGTGATAGTCGCAAGTTTGCGCAAGCAGTGCAAGCAGCTGGACTTTGTGAGGGCGCACGAAAAGTGCCAGAAAATGGCAGTGCTCGAGACATGGATGCGCTGGCTGCCGACATCGGCACGCTAACCACAGCGAAGGTGCGAACCAATATTCTCATTTTCTGTGCGACACACGGCTTCGAGGAAAACGGAGTCATGTTTTTGAGGTCCAGCGACTCAGTAGGACACCACACAGACTTTCCTTTCCAACATATCCTTCAAAAGTTGGGAAACAGAGCAACCTTGCTAGCTTTTATGGCAGCCTGCTGCGCGCAGCACAGGGACGCTACTGAAACATCGCCTTCGCGAAAGACTTGTGCTCCTCCCATACGACTCGATTTTCATGTTTGGATGTCCTCCGCAGAAGGCTTTGCCTGACTACGGCGAACATGAGCGATGTTCATGACACAACGGTGGCGTTCAAACACCGTGGTTTGTGCAAACAATCTGTGCAGCAGTTGTGGATCGCGTGGTTTGTTTCAACGTTGCGGCATGACCTTGTTATGCGTCCCATTGTCGCAGGAGATCTTGTGCAGACAGTGTTGGACGTTCGGCCTGCAAAATATTGACTGGAAATGATTTGCAAAGTTATTGGTGCAGTGCTAGAGCTGTCAACCAGGCGGTGTGGTGCGCTTATAGTCAGTTTTTGCCGGTACGACCCTATTGTTAAGCTTTACCTGTATGACCTGCACAGATGGCAGAGTCTTAGACGTTAAGGATTCCAGCGTCGCAGGTCTTATGTCCCTTTTTTACCCAGGAACAGCGGTGCTGTCACCTTCAGGGCTGTTGAAGCTCAATGTTGTGCTGCCTCTCACAGCCCAGCCGTGCATTCACGGAGCGTGTTCCACGAGGCATTTGTCAGCTTTGGGAGCCTCGACCGCCTGCAGTTGCGGCGCGTTGGTCATGTCTAAGCACACGTGAGAGATCTGCCTTGCAAAGCAGGGCATGCTCCAACTGCTGCCATCTTCTCAGGACTGCCTGCTGCAGGCACTGTGTGCTAGTCTGGATTTGGTTTTCTTGCCAGGTGAAGCTTTTTGTCAATCAGTCCGGGGCTCCAAGCTGCAGCTGCTGCATCATCCATACTTCCATGATCTGCGCGACAAGATGTGCCAAGCCATGGGCACGGGTCAAGCTGAAAAGTTGCTGGAAGACAAGAAGCTGCAGGCATGGTGCAGCAAAGCAGGACTTTTCTACATCAAGAAGGTTCTATGAGCTTTCGCACAGTATCAAGACATCATTAGACAGCCTCTCTCCAATCCAAGAAGCTCGGGATTTGCTGTAACAGGCGCGCCTATGCAAAAAGGGAGATGGAGGAATTACCGCCTACGGCGCAGGCATCCAAGGCGTTCTTCTCGGTGTGTAAGCAAGCTTGGAGCCTCTGGTGCGACATCGATTCGCAGACTAGAGTTCAAGAGCTCGTTTCAAAAGAACAGCTGTTGACCTTCTGATGTTCCGCCACACGGGCGTTTGCAGCGCGTATGCATTCCAGAGTCAACATTCGTCAGAATCCTTGCTGCACTTGGATTCTGTAAGAGGCAAGGAAATTGCCAAGTCACTGCCAAGTTCCCTCCATGCAGTGCTGGATGCCGTATCAATGTCTGCCGCTTGCGGACGAGGCAATTTCCTGACCTGGCAAGGTGGCGAACGGCTCAAGTATTGCATGATGCGTCGGAAACGCCTTTCATTTTCAGGGGAGGGCTGTCAGTAGGGGAGGCGGGTATTCTCCTGACCTTGAGGCTGGGTGAGGGTGACTCAAGAATGAGGGAGCCTGTAATGTGCCGTGCTGTTTTTGGTATCCAATGGCACGCACGCGCCATTCACCTACTTACCCCTCCCCAGCTCAAGGCTTTTCAGCTGGTTTGTTGGCCAATTTGTTGCTCAGATAGTTGCTGGACGTTTTCAGCTCCAACAGCAACAGCCAGCTTTGAGTCGGCAAATGGGATTTCGGCTTCAGGATTTGGTAGGGAAGGCAATACTTAAAGCCCCGTTTTGGGGAGTTGTGTCGCCACGTGGTTACCCAAGGGATACATACACGGCTTCCGCACTGGATTGACGCAAGCAGCCCTGACTAGACCCAGATCCCGCTCGTGCAGGTAGGAATGTCTCCTGTGACGCAGAGCTGGCGGCTGCTGCAGTGACGCTCGAGGCACAAAGAATGCAGCGAGCAGCCCCTCGGACAGATTTTTTAGGGTGCCAGGAACAACCCGTGGGGGCTGGGCCTTCGGGTTCAACGGGAATCGAAGAAATACGTTGGACTTGAGGCGTGTAGCAATAGTTATGGCTTGCTTTTGAGGTTGGCTTTATGTTAGTATCGTTTTGGTTTACTCTCTTGCGATAAGCTACATGGAACTTTTCGTAGGAGTTAGTGATGAGGGCATGCCTCGAGACTGCCAGTCGATTTGTGCTGCGGGGCAGAAGGGGAGCTACACGGGAGCTTCAAGGACGTTATCACTGCCAGTTGGGACTCCTAGCAGGCCCAATCTAACCACTGCAATCTTCACTAAGCCTTTATTCGTACAGAAGGCAGCTCACATACTTTGCTCAAGCTTTACTGACAAACATCACACATGTTGATCGTTAGCCTTCTCCTCTCTGCTGCCGGAATGTCTCCCCAGTTGCAACCCGAGCATGGCCTCAGGAAGAGGAGCCTGCAGCGGTCAGCACCGCCGCCTTGAACGCCGCGCACACTGTGGTCATGCACTGCAAGGTCCTCCCAAGAATCAGGAGTATTCCAGATGTGATGATGACATAAGATATGAGCGGGCGTGATGATGATGGGAGGTCATGGGCCTTCAGTAGCGTTAGGCAATATGAAAGGCTGGCATATTGAAGGGTCACACATTCAAGGAAAGTGGTTGGACTCTATGCCGTGGGGTGCGGTCGCAGATGTGAGCAGAAAGAGAACGCTTGGAGACCAAACTTGAAACCTATAGACGTCATCGTAAGGGATCCTTTCAGGGATCCCCTAGCCATTGGAGACCGAATGAGCTCATGCTAAAGAACCCTTTTTGCTCTGCTTTCTGGGTAAGTGCAAGAGGAAGCCAATTTGCTGTCCGGAGTGAACCGAGCAGTAGTTATGGACCCCGAGAATTAGCTTCCAGTGGTGCGGTCCATCCTCGGCAGTTCCTCACATCTCTTCTGGAGCCGCCCTGGGCCGTGGTGTGGCGAGGCCTGGAACCTCTGCAAGTCCACTTTAAATGTACGAGACCTTTGGGGGTAGAAGGGTCAATTGGATATTCAGACTGACACGGAAGGTTTTGAGGGAGGCGCTTAAGGCCGAACAGATGTGAGTGTCATGAGCAATGACGTGAGATTCAGGCAAGGGGCAAAATTCCTTGCCAAGCCAGCTCCAGACGCTTGAGTTTCGAAGCATGCGTTGTTGGAAACCTTGCCCCAATATCATGGAAAACGGACAATTGAATGCAGACTGGGATTACATCGTGGTTTAAGGAATCTACTAGTGGATGCTTCAACCCGCAGGAGCAGGTAGGAATCATCAAGGCAATGTGCAGGAAGAAGATGGGGAAAACTCAGGAAGTTGCGAGTCAAGGATGGGATGGTCCAAGATGGTCTTCAGAACCCCGAAAACTTTGGAACCTGATCTTGAGCCCGAATTACAGATACGCCTTAGGCCTGGATCGATTAGTATCTGCCCGCGATGTGCGTGTCTCCGTCAGCCCCGACCGCCAGAGCTCCAGGCCTGACTAAGGGTGGATCGGTGGCTCATTCGGGAGTTGGGGGCCGTGTGTAAGAAGATTGAATTATGAGACTGTTGTAGGCAGTATTGGGAACGGATGGGGTGGTCAGGATTACAAGGTTCTTTAACAGCCTGTGCAGACTGTTGTCGGGCGGCCTGGTTGCTGTGTGACTGCTTCACCGCTAGGACATCTTAGGAAAGCCTCAGTTATGCAAGCGTTATATATACAGCCCTCTTTGCAAGCACACTCTTGTACTTGGTTCGGGCAGGACTCACTTCTCCAAAGCGACTCGGGAGCTACTGGCGCGCCTTAGCGAAGAGGCCACGCAGCCTCAATGGCCTCCCCCCGCCTTTGTGGAAGCCTCTTTGCCAGTATGGCGAAGACGGCTGGTGTGCAGTTTGTGTCGAGGTAGGAGATCTCGAATCTTACAGGAGAAGACTAAAGGACTTCGTCTGCAGGACAACGTCTTCCAGGGTTCTATGCAAGCTCGGCACATGGAACCCCTTGATGACCAATGAAGCTGGAAATCTCACTCAACTGGTTCAGGATTTTGCGAATCAGGTCCAGGCATGAACCTGGTTGTTGCCCTTCATGACACCTGTGTTGGAATCCGCTGCCCAATCATCCACGGAGCCCGGGGCTTGCTCCAGCAAGGTAGTGAGATGAGCCGCTGAAGCGATCTGCTGATGACCTGGATGAGGATGACGATGATGCTGATGATGATGATCCTGGTGATCAAGCAGCTGCTGCGCCTTTGATAACGGTTTGCATCTCTTCCACCTCATCAGTTCTTCCTCTTGAACGACACAAACATGACCATCGTTGTCAATGTGCTGAAAGGGGGGTTTCTCGTGCCTCGCTATTGTCAATTATGCTGGGGCTCTTGGCGTTGTGTCAACAATTGAATCTGTGGAATGATGCACGGGACCTGCACCTGGCCGGTTGCTCGGCCGGTGCCTTGCTATAGGAGCTGGTGTGTCACCAAATAGCCACTGCCAACGGCTTGACGCTAAGTTGCCTTATCCTTCTTTGATTCTCGCCACTGCCCCTTCAAGACCCAGGTGACGTTCCCGATGAGTCTGCATCCTCCGCATATCTCGTGGAGTCTTGGTGGCAGCAGGTTGCATTTCACGTCCTGGGTGCTGATACATGTGCAGCACTTCACAGTATAATCTTGCATGCTTAAAGACCTTGCGGGTATGCTACTGCAGCAAACATAGATTGGCTGACACATTGCGTGGCAGAGCTTTGTATTTGCCGGCAACACAAATCCGACATGGGAAGTTTCCATCAGATCTGCAGCGTGGTTCAAACATCTCGGATCTCTCGGAGTGCTTGCACTCCGCAAGCTCGATGCTTGGGTGGCTTTTTAAGCCCCAAGAAGAGGACAGGCTTATTAGCAAGCCTTTCTCCAATTGGGAACCCAAAAAGTTGACTTGAAAGCATCAGCAGTAAGGCAGCGCACATCAGCTTACAAGCAGCTGGCAGCATAATCAATATTGGCACGTGGTTTTGGATTTGGTGGGCGCGGGAGCGCCATGTTGACAGAGTCACCATGTTTTTAAGGTCGCAGACGGCCGCAGAGGAGTACTGGCTTCTTGGCTCGCTGGACGGTGCAGTTGAGGGCAGGTCTGGATGCATGCTTGAAATGCTGCTATGGCAGGGTTGCTGGGAGAGGATAGCCTTATGAGACTTATGGGTGCTGCACTTAGCACATTGATATTGCTATGCTGCCAAACTATAGATCATTTTTGGTATCAGGGGCACCTCACATTGCAAGTCATGGCACAGCCAGACCCATGCTGGCGAAGCGGGCACCTTACTTTTTCACAAGGCCTGCAAGTTCCTACTCACGCAGTACAAGCATATCAGAAGCGCGCTCACAGCACTTCAACTTCAAAGTACAATAACCGATGCATTTTGAGAGCCAGAAGGTTCCTTTCGGACCGCATCCGGATGCAGGGCATCCCGCACTGCAACGATGCTTTTATGGACTTGATGGAGCCTCGCGTTCAACAGCAGGGCTGGGGGAACAGGCTAAAAAGTGTACATTCTATCTAAACCCAGCAGGAAACAAGAATGGTCTATCTAGACCGGGTCCATGAACCGCATAGACTTGGTGGGCAACAGTGCAAGGTCCATTCCTTAAACACAAGTGGGTTTGTTGAGAAGCTTCTTGTTGCGAGCTTGCCGCATGCCCCGCAAGAGTGCTGTAAGCTTGGCCGCTTCATCGTGCATTGACAGTAGTTTACATCGTGACAGGGTCCCCACATGACACCTGACATCTGTCGGCGCAGGAAACATTTGACTTTCACCGGCGGCTTGCTTGCAAGAGGGATTGGAGGAATTGATGGCTGGTTTCCCCCGGATTTGTGGTCTTTCTGACAGTTCGTTGTCCCTCAAAAGCCTGCTAAAGTTTTGAATCTTCTACTTAGGACGCAGGCGCACGTCATGTCAGCTTTAGATTTTCCACTTCAGGTTGTTTTGCCTCTCGTGGTTGTTCATTTGAAGTTAGCGAGTATGTGCCCCATGTTGCGGTCATCACAGGTTGCTCGCAAGCCCATAGCGCCATGGTGCAGTTTCCCACAGCTTCAAGCCCATGCGGCGGTTCTGCACCGGGCCTGTTCCAACCAAAGATGAGCGAAGTTTTTGGCAACTGCCTCAGGATTATGCGGCAAAGCAGCTGGCCTACTCGCTTCGTGGACATAGGCCGGATGACCAGCTGCCCACAGTTGGTGTGATGTGACGTACTTTTCAGGGCTTGAGCTGCTAGTTTTGACGTTGGACAAGCATATTTGCCTGAAGCTCTGCAGGCGTCATGTTTTGTGCCGCGAGGTTGTGAATGCGACGCTGTCTTCTACACGTTAGGAACTTCCAGCGTGTCATTGGCACAGGACGAAAGCAGTTTGGAAATTTGGATCGTGGGCGTGAACCTGTCCATGCCCTCTATTGCCACTGCATCCCCATTCCCTCCTCTTGGGGTCGCCCTGCTGAGGTCTGCTTTCAGCAGGAACTAGTGTGGAACCTGCCTCCTTTCTGCCTCCTGCACATTGAATGTCCTGTAGCTCTGTACGGCCATTCTCCAGTGCCGAAAGGGATGCCTGTTTCATGTGCAAGAGAGCCGCTCCAGATTTCAATGCTCCTTCTCGAAACTGCTTAGATTGAGGGAGCCTGAAATGGATGGTACTTGGAATTCTCATGTGACCTGGGCTTCTGAAGACTGGAATGCAGCCATTCTTTGGACAGAACCTCCCAAAACACAGGGACCTGCTGGATACTGGGGTGCAAGGCGCTCATCTGGGAGACTGTTCGCTTTGGGCGGCTGCTCGCTGGGGACGAGGCACACAGATTTGACGAAGAAAACTTGCATTTGTCAACATGAGGTGTCTCCTCTCGAGGTCCCTTTGAAAGGGAAGTCAAGTACACAACTTCGGGTGTGGTTTAGGTCCATCTTTTCGGCCCAAGCGAATTAGATTGTAACCCAGATTATAATCAGAGCGCTTAAAGGGGCGTGATGGATGTGAAGTTTTGGGAAGCCCAAGCATGGAACAGGTGGTGGTGGCCTTCAAGGTTTGGCAGTTGAACATCGCCGCATGGTGGCATGCAAACTTCCGCTTGTGATGTCCCTTATGACGCGGGCAGCACTGGGACACCTTTTTGGGCCAGGGTATCCTTTCTGAACCGAAGTCAGTGTAATCGCAGGGTTTCGTGGGTTTCTGACTGTCTCAGACAGCTGCAGTGACAAACGGATGACATGCAAGTGAACACCACCGCGCAATGTCGCCGGCCGTCAGCCTTCTTCAGATCCTCAAAGTGGGAATTCTGAGAAGATTTTGAGTGGAGAAGGAAGCTACATGTTAAATTCAACTCAGGCGAGGCGAATGCGGCTGCCATCCGACGGGCTGCAAAGATGGCCGGGCTTACTCAAGGTGCGGCTCCCGTACACTTTCATCGTGGGAAGCTTCCACATGAAGGTCATGTTTCATTTATAGACGTGTTATGACAGATGATGTCTCACATGTTGAGGCTGTGCAGGAGATAACCGGGTCTCTTTACCATACCCTTCAGATTTGGATGCACAACTACTTCCTGAGTTCTAACTTTGCTGCAAAAGCATTTGGGGAAGCAGCTAACAACCACTGGTTGAGCAACAGGAGTGAAGTCCCCTCTTTCCCCAACTGGAGACAGAGTGCCCCTCGCTGATTGCCAAGAAGCTCGAACCCCTGGCTGCAGGGGTACTGAGGGTGCTCACTGCAGAGGCAGTGTCCCAGGCACCCTGCCTGCCGAGTTTGGAGGCAAGCGCTTTACAGTGGCACGTTGACCTTAGGAAGGACTCCACATACGCACTGCCCCTGGATCTGTGTTTTTGGGTGTTAAAAATTACGGCGATTGTTGGAGGGTTAAGGGCAATTTCTGCGGGCCAGCATCATCAGCACAATTGGGCCGACATTTCTCACTTTTGGACACCTCAAGTACCTAGGGTTTTGGATGGGTGTTGGAACCGTCATATGAGTCATATGTGTGGTGTCAAGGAAATAAGGGGCCCAAACAGGCCCCATGATGCTCATGATGCTGGCTCTTGGGGGGTTGCTGGGGACTTAAAATGCGTTATAAACCCCAACAAAACAGGGTTCTGGAAATGATAACAAAGAGAGGGGATAGAAAGTCACAAAAAAATGGTGCAGGACGAATTCATTGACTATTACTACCACTAAGACTGCAACTACTACTACTATTACTATTACAATTACTATTAGTATCTGCAGCCACAAGGCTTAGTCGATCCCTTGAGCTTCCCATTCTCCTCTTGCCACCCCCCTGTTTATGCTTTCGACTTCCTGGCCCTCGTCCTCATCATTCCTGCCACAGCCTGAGTTTCAGGGTTTGGGGACTTAGGGGGTTGCCCTGGTGTCATGGCCGTTTTGGTCGTTCGACCCAGGTGCACTGCCAAGGAGTGTCATGGTCGATACGGCCGTGACCTCCTTTAGGGTTATTTTAGGCAGAGTTCAGGGTTCAAGGGTTGTAGGACTATTGTCATCTTCATATCACGATTACGAAGACTACCAGCTAATATTATCAAAATAATAAGAGTAGATTGTTAGGTGTCATGGCCGCTTCGGTCGTTCGACCCAGTAGGTGCCAGGGAGTGTCATGGCCGATTCGGCCGTGACCTCCCTTAGTACTAGTAACAGGCTTTGCAGGGTTCAGGGGTTTAGGGCTCAAGGGCTCAAAGGTCAGGGGTATAGGACTTTTGCTCCTAATTTAGAGTTGTAAGACTTTAGACTTTGGGTACATTTTAAGTACAACAATCATAGTGTCACTAGATTACTATGACTGCTTTTTATTCCAAATACCAACAAGTCTTTTAACTAAACCCTAAACCCTAACCCTTAAACCCTAAACCCTAAACCCTATACCAATGCCCATAATGTAATGATCAATCTCACTTGTTACTCCGACCCTTGCTTTTTCTGAATTTAGAGGGATCTCGCTGAAGTATGGGACCCTTACATTTCCATAATATATGACTCAATGAAATACCTGGAGGTTAAGGGATTAGGGTTTAGAGATTAGGGTTTAGAGAGTAGGGCTCAAGGTTTAGGATTTCGGAGACAATTGTTGAAGTCCACGGAAAGTAGAGTGGCTAGTACAGCAGGGACACTTCTGCGTTGTAAAGTTGTGTTGGCGTTTGTAAGGGCAACTGGCAAGTGGGACTGGGCAAGCTGGGTGAGCGGAGGAGTGGGGTTTAGTAACCAATACTAAGGATACCTATAATGTAATCAATAATAGTATTTAGTAGTATATAGACATCAGTATTTTATCACTGGGAGTAGCCATTCTCGGGGAAGCAAGAAGGACCATGGCATTTATGAGTATCTTTCAGTAGGCAAGATCAGAGGCCACAGGAAATAGTTCTCCTTGCCCAAACAAGAAATTTCGTCCGCCGCTCATATGAGTACCACCATTATTGTTCTTATCAGGATCACACATACAATTGTTCTTAACTTTCTTCTTCATGTTGTCATGCACATCCTCCTGCCTACAATAAAACCATTCCGATTGATTCAAACCCTAAACCCTAAACCCTAAGCCCCAAACCGTGAAACCCTGAAACCCTGAAACCCTGAAACCCTAAACCTTAAACCCTAAACCGATTGATGACAAGAGTGGCTACTACTACTACTACTACTACTACTACTACTACCAATAATAATCATAATGAATATATGTATATATATATATACACATCCAAGCCCTAACCCCTTATCCAGCAGACCCTAAAACCCACATATATATACATACAAAAGTATGTCCGACTGCCCCCAACATTTCACCTTGTCTAAACCCAGATACTTTGGGTTCGTTATGCCGAGGCACACGCGAAGCAACCTTCAGCTGGGCCGATGACACAGAGGACCATCACATGGCTCTTCTGCTTGTGAGGGTGTGGGGGACCCTAAGCCCTAGATCCCTAAAACCCCTCAACCCCAGGGTGTTTCGCCATACCAGAGCTACATGCTGGTTCTGTTAAGGGAAATATGAGGGTCTTCGGGTTTTCCGGGTTTAGGGTTTCGGGTTTAGGGTTTTATTTAGGGTTTAGGGTTTAGGATTTATGCTTTTAGGGTTTGAGCTTTTCAGGATTGAGGGTTTCTAGGGATTTGGGGTTTAGGTTTGAAGGTTTTAGGGTTTAGAGCCAGCAGGGTATTAGGGTTTAGGGCCCTAGGACCCTAGGCCTAAACCCTAAACCCTACACCCTAAACCCTAAATAAACCCTACCCTAAAAACCTTATCCCTAAACCCTAAACTGTATCTCACAGGAGTCTACATCAATGCTGATGTTCATGATGCAATGTTAGGGTTGATTTAATTTAATATCCATAAAAACCCTGTGTGTCTAGTCGAAGCACGCGGCCCAAGATCTAGGGTTCATGTCTGTGAATTTTGGGACCAGGGTTGTTGTCAATTCTCTTAGTAGCATTATTATTATTAGGAGGATGAATACAGAAGTTAGGGCTTAGTGCTTGGTGCACATTCTGGCAAAATGCAACTACTACTACTACTACTACTACTGCTACTGCTACTACTACTACTACTACTACTACAACTACAACTACAACTACTACTACTAGGATTGTCTTAAATAAATTACTGTCAATATGGGGTCCTATATTTGGGTCCATTTTCGGAGCAGTAATTTGGGGAAACTCCGTTATCATAACAGTAATGGGAATAATGATGATACAAAAATTTTACTTTTGAGTCTAGTCCATAGGGCTTTCAGTTTCACACGTGTTGCCCGTATCCTTGCCGGGGCAGCACGCAATGCCACGTAAATCGAAGCCGGAGAAGAAGAAGGCCATGCGGGAGGCCAAACCTTCTCGGCAGGAGGCTACACGAGCCCACAAGCAGTTGGCATCTAGGCTGGATTTGAAGTTCTGAAGGTTTCTTTTTGTTAAGGTGGGTGTTGAGCTGGGTTCATATGAAGAAGTCCAAGGTAGCTGCACAAGAGGCCAGGGCGGCGGCGGAGCAGCTCAATGAAGCTTCAGCCTTCAATCTGCAGTCCGCAATGGCCATGCGTGCTGTTCCTTTGCAGCAGTTACATACTTTGTTTATTTTGAAATTATTTAAGGGTCAATGGCTATGGCATGTGGGGTATAGTGCATCTATGATAGCAGCACATCAAGCGAGGAGTCGATGGCTGCCAACGAGGTGGAGATGAACCAGCTGCGCCAGCGAGCAGATTCCATCGTCCAGCAGTGTATGGCTCCATGGCGTCCATTGGGATGTTAGGGATGTAAGATCTGGGCTTTGCTGTGCCGTTTATTTTTGGAACGGCTAAGTTATGTGGGGTGTATAGTACATTTATGGTAGCACATCATCAACAAAGGAGTCGATGGCAACCAATGCCGAGGAGATGACTGAGCTCCGTGCGCAGGCTCGTGAGCTTTCTCATGAGAATGAGATTCCATGGCATCAATTGGGATTTTAGGCAAACCCTAAACCCTAAACCCTAAACCCTACTAAACCCTAAACCCTAAACCCTATAGGATCTAGTCTGTGTGCATTTGTTTTACAAACCCATTGTAAACTTTTTGCTACACCTCACTTAAGTCCAAATCCTCAAAGGCTCGCAAGAGGAGCTTTCTGGAGATGCAGCTCCAATCTGCTCAGAAGAGCACTGAGGTCGACTTGCTGAAAGACCGCCTGTCTGAGCATGCAAAGGCTCATGAGGCGAAAGTCAAGGACCTCAATGCCGAGAAGGAGAAGGAGCTGGCAGAAGAGCGGCGACTGGCAGACATCATGGGCAAGTCGATGGCTCGGGAAGCGGCGATTTCTGCAAGGCAGGACCTTCTGAGCCAGCAGTCGGCTGCCAAAGCCCATGAAGAGTCGATGCTGCAGATGAGGGCCAGAGAGTCGGCCATGAAGCTGGTGGCCGCGAAAACTCTGGCCCTCGCACATGAGTGGGTCGAGTCGATGGTTGGTGCAACCTCAGAGTTGTGGCAAGCCATGTTTAGGTAACTTGCCAGCACTTCAGTGAAGCACTTAACTAGGATCTTAGGCTTTGGTGTTTGGGTTTCCTTATCACTAAACCCTAAACCCCAAACCCTAAACCCTAAACCTTAAACCCTAAACCCGAAACCCTAAACCTAGCCAGCAACCTGGCCCAGGTGCACCGACAAGGTCATGCCCACCATGTGCTCCTGGCTGACTTCGGCTGGCTCCTTGCGGTGCTCTCTCCTGCTGCTTCTGAACTCAAGGCCTTGCCCCTGGAGCGAGATGCCACAGGAGCAAGTCGATCTGCAACTGGGTTCCATGATCACTTTTTTTTTTTTTTAAGGCAGATGAAATATCCAATGCCCTAACCTCACACATGCATGCCAATAAACCTCAGGTGGGTGGAGATACTGCAGGCCATCCATGCTCAAGAGACAGAGGAAGCAAGCCAGTTGGCCTGGTCTTTACTGGAGAAGCACTTCAAGGCTGCGCTAGCAAGCTCAAGGCCATCGTCGTCTACGCCATTGCATGTCTCACTCCAAAGTCCTCCGAGCCCCTCGCCAAGGACAGTGCCTGTGCCAGCAATGTCTGTGCCAACGGCAGTAGCAAAAGCAAAGACAGTCCCTGTGCCAAAGCATGGGCAGAAAAAGGATGGGACTCGATGATCATAAGCATCATAGCAACAATATCAAAAAAATACCACATGGAGAGCAATGGATAGTCGATCCCGTCTTTTTCTGTCATGTGTTTTGTGCCTGGTTCCGAGAAGGGGCTGCGCATCAGAGATGTTTGCATGAAG